TCGTTGAAAAATCGTTGATAAATCGTTGATAAATCGTTGATAAATCGTTAATAAATCGTTGATAAATCGGTAGTGGTGGAAAGTTTAAAACGCATAAGTGACCAATAATGATACTATTGACCAGTTTTATAGCTTGTTTTGTTCTACTTTCGGATGTTTATTTGTTTAATATTTGTAACGTGGATCCTAGGGCTTGGTTGATAGAGTTTAGACTGTGTTTTTAGCAATATTTATTTGCGATAATCTATTTTAAATTGTTTTTGTGTATTTTAAAGATGTATTTTAATTTTTTTCCGTGTTTTAAGTTTAAAAATGCATTTTAAATTGTACACTATAATGAAATGCACTACATTATATTTTTAAATTTGCTCTTGTGTTGTATATTTTGTATAATAATAATTGTTAATGAAATGAATGAACAAATCTATCTTTGTTTTCATTATATTAATACCGCTGAATTGTTCAGTTGCCACAAAGGATGTTTGAGTACCTTGTTTTGCTCCAATGACTTGTTTTATTGGTTTTCGCTGAGTGTAAAGGGATGAAGAAGTGGCAATAAAACTCAAGTAACTAATAAGGGAGCAATTAAGCGAACACATATTTTTACTGTTGGTTTAATCAACTATATACAGTGTGTCGCAAAAAGTCTCATTATTTGAAAAAGTTGACAAATTTTCTTTTAACTAGGAGCAAAATATTTTTTATATAGCTCCAGTAATTGTTTTTCCTTGTATAACTGCTCACGTTTATTATTGGAGAATTCGGATGTTTTTTAATCGTGTTTTGTATTTTTTCTTTGCTAGTTCTTTCTTTTTTAGTTCCGCAACTTTAATTTTGTCTGTTATTTGCCTACGTCTTCTTCTATATGATAGAGTTAGCTCTTTTGAATGGCGAGGAGTATTTTATTTATCTCCTAGGAGTTCTAGTGGGATGCAAGAGAAGGTGTTTGATCATCTAATTATTTTTAGACACATGCTATCGCTTACTCCAATTTTATTTATACTTTTTCTCTTTCCCTCTATCATACATTTAACCTTCCTTATTTTGTCTCTTCATACTTTTCATGGTCATTATGGTTTTCTTTAATTTTCGAATATCATTTTTTTAATTTTTTTTTGGGTTGTGATATAACTGTTTTTCCTAAACAAAAAATTAAGGCACATGTAAAATTTTATCTTAAAAAAATCATTGCAATACAAAATTTAATAAAAATGATTATTTTACAACAAAAACAACCTTTTGATCAAACCCTTTATGGTAAATATGTATTTTTGTTGCTTTACCTAATTCAAATTAAATACCAACTTGATATTCTATATTTAACTTTATTACTCAAATTCAATTATACTAAGTGGGTTTGCAGCATAAAATGAAAACAAAATACAAAAACGAGATTTAATAAATTAAGCAAATATAATTAATTACAGAGGGGAATTGTTAAATACCTTCCCAATCCAATATTTAAAGTTGATTAAAATAATTGGTTTCCTAGAAAACGAATGATCATTTTAAAGGCAGGTCATATTGATGAACTTCTTAGTGATATAAACAGTAATTATTACAGCATTACTGGTGCACTTAGATAATTGGTATTGAAATAATCATCCTTAGACATATATAAGATGAGATATATAACAAAGTCTCAATAAATTGTCACTGTACACGATAAAAAATTATTTAATACTTTTATATTAGACTTTATATTGACTGTAAAGGTATTCAAACAGCGATCTAAAATAGGCTCCGATCACCGTTTGGATGGGTGACCAACCTTGTAGAGCTCGGGGTCCATCTAATTGATGGAATGAAAGAGTTTAATGTATCGGAAGGAATAGGATATTCAAATAAGCCCATATGATTTTTGTTCTGCCATACTTACACTCTAGATATTAGAATCCAAGCCTTCTTTAGGAGAAGAAAGCTGAGTGATATCCGAAAGTTCGAAAAATAATTATCATTATGGCGTGAATCTAAATCATTGCTTTAGTTTCTTTTTGGAATTTTTGGGAAAATTTGTAATTTCGTACACTAGATTTTCTTCTTCCCCTTGTTCTTCCGTATAGTCGGAGTATTTGTGATATCGCACCCTTGCTTCAAAAGTGTCTTAACTTAAAATCCACATCTTTTGACTTAATACTATGAGTGGGATTATTAAAAACAATCCTACATCAAAACCTCAAAAATCACAGACGCGCCATCTAAACGACTCTTCTCTAAATCAATTTAAAACAATTTTATTGATTGTAGGGTTGGTTACTAATCACATTTAAAACTTAAAAGTTGTGAATTTTGAGTTGTGTGACTTTTAAAGCAAGGGTGCATATGGTTTGCATCGAATCTGTATGTATTTACGTCTCAACCAAACGCTTAGTCGTCTTGTTAAATACTGAACAGTTCTTCAAACGTAAATCTAGGTGAGCCTTGGGAACTGGGATCTAAAGTAGTTACCTTGACTCGCAACCTTGTTTTGGCTAGTAGCCCTGGGGGGCTATTTTCAAAGTATGGGAGCACTCATTTCTCTCAAGATTCTCATCAGAAATGTCATACGTCAATGTGGAAATGTTGTTATTAAAGGCATCGAGGATTAAAATTCTTAGGAAGATTTTAATTATCTCTAAATAAACCGAGAGAAACAGTCAGTGAATTCACACTGGCCCTAAGAGCCCTAAAAATACGGTTTTAAGTTGACGTATGACATTTATCTTGAGAGAAATGAATTCTCTCGAGTTTGAAAATAGCCCCCCTGGTACTTATACTCATGGGAGTTGGTTTGTTCTTGAGTTTTGTTTACGTCCTCATAAATTGGTTGTTAAAAAAATGGTCTCGGCTGTTGTTCGAACTACGTAGCTCTGAATTATGGTAACAATTGTGGTCTTGGGATGGGCTGTTGCCATTGTGAAGGTATTAAAGTCATCGGTGAGTTGTGTAGTTTCCCAACAGGGTTGTAATTTTGAGGTTTGCTGGTAATAGATAAAAAGGGCCTAATCACTTTTGGATGTATCTTCTGTTGTTTTCTTTTTGTATATACTTAATGGCTGGGACAAGGGATATTGATCGCATGGGTCTTATTGATAATCCAAAGGGTTTTCTAAGTCCTGCTACGAACATTGTTATGGTTCTTAGAAGTTTCATTACTTTCTAATAAAATTGCTGCGGGTTCTTGTTGGGGCCTTGAAGGGGACTAACTAGAACCCTTGGTAATAAATTCTCTTTTATTTGGTCGGTGAAGTGTTAAATTAGGGTCTCTTTTATTTCTATACAGCAGAGCTGGGTAATTCCTATGTTATATCTTCTAAATGTATTGTGGTACTTCTAAGGGTATGTTCTTTCTTTGGGTTAACTGTTGATTTTTTCTCGGATAAGATAACTAGCAGGCAAACGTTTAAAAACAACGAGGATCTTTAAAGACTCACCCACTATCCTAATGACTAAGCCAGAAACATTTTGGATGAACAAAAGTCACTTTTTAAAAAGCACTTTATAATTACTAAACAATTAGAACTAATTCTTACAATATTTCGTACCTGAATTTATATCAACATATATGCTGCTTACTAAATTATACAAATGCAAAACTGAGTTGCAATTTTGTAGAACAATAAAACCATTTAAACTGTGTTTTACAGAGATATTTTGTTGATCGACTAAATCTCTTTCCTAAACTTCTCGATTCTGTGACTTTGTATTCTTTTAAAACCTTAAGGCTTCATTACCTATCAGCAAAATCAACTTCTGCCGTGATTTTCTAATATCTGTAGACCAAAGTTCCAGAACACTTCATTGAAACAACGTCTGTTAGCCGTAGATATTTCGAATAACCCATATCGATTCTTCTTGAAACGTTTCTCGGCACTGCATTTTCTATTACATTTTTCTTATTTTTCAATTCATAACTGAAAGCAAATA